CTGTGTATATGTCCTGTGTGTATGGACTATGATATGACCCTGTGTATATGTCCTGTGTGTATGGACTATGATATGACCCTGTGTATATGTCCTGTGTGTATGGACTATGATATGACCCTGTGTATCTGTCCTGTGTGTATTTGTCCAAAATGATTCCTCGGGTTTTTGCTGAGACCAGCACTGAAGAACGGGATGACCAGGAAGGAAGTCGTGCGTGTGATTGGGTTCACTGTTCCCGGTAGGTGAAGGTCACGCTGGTTTTGTTGTGGATTCTCCACTCAGTAAAGCCCAGCGGCCGCTCCCAGCGACGGAGTGTTTCCCCAACAGACCGCTCCCAGCGACGGAGTGTTTCCCCAACAGACCGCTCCCAGCGACGGAGTGTTTCCCCAACAGACCGCTCCCAGCGACGGAGTGTTTCCCCAACAGACCCAGTGACGGAGTGTTTCCCCAACAGACCCAGTGACGCAGTGACGGAGTGTTTCCCCAACAGACCCAGTGACGCAGTGACGGAGTGTTTCCCCAACAGACCCAGTGACGGAGTGTTTCCCCAACAGACCCAGTGACGGAGTGTTTCCCCAACAGACCCAGTGACGGAGTGTTTCCGCGACAGACCCAGCGCTCGTCCGCAGCGGCTGGCGTGGCACATACAGAGAGGTTCTCGTCCAATCAGCAGCACAGACAACTTTGGCAGCTTCTCGAGGGGAGCCACACTCCTTTGTCTTGACGTTTCTATCTGTTGGTTTTTTTGTCTAGAGTCCAAGCAGAGGCTAAGATAGATCTAATAGTTGGCTGAGGTTGGGGAAAAGGGAATCCTTTGTGTCAAAGCGGGGAAATCAATTCTGGGGTCAGTGAGTTGAAAAGATAGATGTAGTTCCCCTGCTTAGTTGTGTTCTGTAGAGCTTGTGGGTTGTGTGTCTCCTGGCGGTTGTGGTGTAGCCGCGAGGGGCTTTGTGGTACACACAAGATGTTGGCTTCCTCTGTGGTCCCAGTGTACAGTGGTGTTGCTCTTTCTACCCCAGACGTACTGCGACATCAAAGACTTGTCGTACGGCATCGAGAACTACCCGGTGTCGTGCGTCAACGGCGTGGACCGCCACTTCCCCGACTACGTGGAGTACGCCAACCGCCGCATCCCCTCCAAGGGCGTCCACATCAACACCGAGCCCGACTTCCTGGCCTGTTGTGACTGTACCGACAACTGCAGGGTCAGTGACGTGTCATGTCTTGTCGTGTCGTGTTGTGTCGTGTTGTGACTGTACCGACAACTGCAGGGTCAGTGACGTGTCATGTTGTGTCGTGTTGTGACTGCCGACAACTGCAAGGTCAGTGACGTGTCGTGTTGTGTCATGTCATGTTGTGTTGTGACTGTACCAACAACTGCAGGGTCAGTGCGGTGTCGTGTTGTGTCGTGTCATGTTGTGTTGTGTCGTTTTGTGACTGTACCGACAACTGCAGGGTCAGTGACGTGTCATGTCATGTCGTGTCGTGTCGTGTTGTGACAACTGCAGGGTCAGTAACGCGTTGTGGTGTGTTGTGTCATGTTGTGTTGTGTTGTGACTGTACCGTCAACTGCCGGGTCAGTGATGTGTCGTGTTGTATTATGTCGTGTTGTGTGTTGGGTTGTGTTGTGTCGTGGTGTGTTGTGTCATGTCGTATTGTGTGTTGTGTTGTGCCGTGTCATGTTGTGTTGTGTCATGTTGTATTGTGTCATGTTGTGTGTCATGTCATGTTGTATTGTGTTGTGTGTTGTGTTGTGTCATGTTGTGTTGTGTTGTGTCGTTGTGTGGTGTGTTGTGCTATGTTGTGTTGTGCTATGTTGTGTTGTGATGTGTCATGGTGTGTTGTGTCATGGTGTGTTGTGTCGTTTTGTATCATGTTGTGAAGTGATGTGTCATGGTGTGTTGTGTCATGGTGTGTTGTGTTTTGACAACTGTAGAGTCAGTGACAGTTGTGTCATGGTGTGTTCTGTCGTGGTGTGTTGTGTCGTTTTGTATCGTGTTGTGTCATGGTGTGTCGTGTAGTGGTGTGTCATGGTGTGTTGTGTTTCGACAACTGTAGGGTCAGTGACTGTTGTGTTGTGTGTTTCCTCTTGTGTTTTTGTATGTTATTTTCTAGAAACATCCCTCACCTTCAGCATTATATGATGACCTATTTGTGTTGCAAGTGCCATAAAACTCTTATCTAGACCTAGTGTTTTGTGGTGGTGGTGGTGGTGTAGGACCGGAGCAAGTGTGCCTGCCAGCAGATGACCGTGGAGAACACGACCTGGATCGGAGACAGGGACCCAGACGCCGGCTACAACTATCGGAGACTGAGGGAACCACTGTTTACAGGGTGTGTGGGTGTGTATGTGTGTGTGTGTGTGTGTGTGAGTGTGGGGGTGTGTGGGTGTGTGTGTGTGGGTGTGTGTGTGTGGGTGTGTGTGGATTTGGGTGCTGTGTGTGTGTATGTGTGTTTGTGTGTGTGTGTGAGTGTGTGTGTGTATATGTGTGTTTGTGTGTGTGTGTGTATGTGTGTTTGTGTGTGTGTGTATGTGTGTTTGTGTGTGTGTGTGAGTGTGTGTATGTGTGTGTATATGTGTGTTTGTGGGTACAACTACCGGAGACTGAGGGAACCGCTGTTTACAGGGTGGGTGGGTGTGTGTGTGTATGTCGTGTGTGTGTGGGTAATGTGTGTGTGTGTGTATGTCGTGTGTGTATGGACTGTGGTATGACCCTGTGTGTGTGTACTGTGTGTGTATTTGTGTGTGTGAGTGTGTGTGGGTGGGTGTGTGTGTATGTGTGGCTGTGTGTGTGTGTGTGGGTGCTGTATGTGTGGCTGTGTGTGTGTGGGTGCTGTGTGTGTGTATGTGTGGGTGGTGTGGGTGTGGGTGGGTGGGTGTGTGTGGCTGTGTGTAGCTGTGTGTGTGTGTGGCTGTGTGTTTGTGTGTGTGTGTGTAGCTGTGTGTGTGTGGGTCCTACTTCTTTTCTTTCCCTCTGTTGTTTCTGTCTGTGGGTGGTTGGAGGGTGTCACTGGTAGGTCCTGCTTCTTTACTGTTCCTGTATTGTCTGTGTCTGTCTCACTTTGTCCTATCGTAGTTCACTGGAATGATACAAGTTACTGTAGGCCTGTTCCTGTGTTGTCTGTGTCTGTCTCACTTTGACCTATCGTAGTTCACTGGAATGATACAAGTTACTGCGGCCTACTTGTGGGAAAAGGACAGTAACATTTCAATGTTCGGGTTCAGTTTTTGTTTCAGGGGTTTTTATTTTCCTAATTTATTAGTAAGTCTAGAAACCCCTTGTTTTTGTGAGAACAACTGTGTGTCAATTGTGCTGTAAAAGTCTCACCTTGATCCCTGTACAACTGTGTCCTTGACATTGTAGAAATGTGACCTTGACCTTTGCCCTGGTGCCCCCAGCATCGTGGAGTGCAACTCTCGCTGTAGCTGCGACAAACGCTGCCAGAACCGTGTGGCTCAGCACGGCCTGCAGATGAGACTGCAGGTCTTCAAGACGGAGAAAAAGTAGGTCACTGGCCCCGACCTTGGCGTCACGGGTCGTAGCCGTGTTCAATTCTTATTTTGTTATTTTGTTACTTCTCCTAATAATGCACTTTTTGCCAGCGTGTTGTTGACTTGTACGTAACACATTGCCAGCGTGTTGTTGACTTGTACGTAACACATTGCCAGCGTGTTGTTGACTTGTACGTAACACATTGCCAGCGTGTACTAAACACAACACATTGCCAGCGTGTTGTTGACTTGTACCTAACACATTGCCAGCGTGTTCCCATGTATTAAACACAACGCATTACCAGCGTGTTCCCATGTACTAAACACAACACATTACCAGCGTGTACTAAACACAACACATTGCCAGCGTGTACTAAACACAACACATTGCCAGCGTGTATTAAACACAACACATTACTAGCGTGTTCCCATGTACTAAACACAACACATTGAGACGTGTTGTTCTTGCAGTGTCTCAGTCTGTGGTACTGGAACAAGCACATAATGTGGCTACTGTTGTTGAACCAATGGCAGTTTTTGGGTTCTTACAACATTGGAACAGTTTGACCCCCTCACACACGCACTCACACATGCACTCACACACGCACTCACACACGCACTCACACACGCACTCACACACGCACTCACACACGCACTCACACA